ACCCTCGGCGGGAGCGCCGCCACGCCCCCAAGCGGTGCACTGTAGCAGTGCGCCACCGGGCCGGCCCTTCACAAACTGTTTTGATGAAGCTTTCAGACTATAGTGAAAACTTTTTAGTAAATGTGGATTTGTATTAACACATTAATTTTAATTTAATTAATGATTACTTAATCATTTTATAGCCTTTTATGGTTTTTGTGAATGAGTAATGCCAGAAAAGCAACTAGGAGGATGAGGAAGGAGAAAAATAGTGTGAAATGTCTATTTTTGCCTACTAAAAACTATAAACCTGTAATAGAAGATTCTCATAGGCTTTTAGTGATCTTATTTTTGGCATTTCCTATGTAGTATTAATGAGTTGGGGGTAGGACTTCCAGAGTGACTATGTTAGGAGTTTAGTAAACCATCTCCACGATGAAACAATAATTTTACTGGTGAAAATTATTTTTTTTAAAAAAATCATTGGGCCGGCCCGGTGGCGCACTGCTACAGTGCGCCGCTTGGGAGCGTGGCGGCGCTCCCGCTGAGGGTTTGGATCCCACATACAGACCGGCCGCTCGCTGGCTGGGCGAGGTGCAGGCGCAGCACCGAGGGTTGCGATCCCGTTGCCGGTCCCGGTCCGGTACGGGCATGACACTGAGGGTTGCGATCCATTGCTGGTCATGAAAAAAGACAAAAAAAGGAAAAAAATAAAAATAAAAAAAATAAAAAAAACCATTTAGACACTGAGGGTTGCGATCCGTTGCTGGTCACGAAAAAAGACAAAAAAAGGAAAAAAAAAATCATTTAAATGGGTAAAGGGTTACAAAAATCAACTACAATGTATATTGAGAAGTTAAAATTAAAAAAAATAATAAAAATTTAAAAAATCACTTAAGAGTCTCTAGAAATTGACCTAAGGGAAATGGGTAAAGGGTCACAAAAATCAACTACAATGTATATTGAGAAGTTAAAATTAAAAAAAATAATAAAATTTTAAAAAATCACTTAAGAGTCTCTAGAAATTGACCTAAGGGCATACAGGAAATGGAAAAACATTTTTCAAGAAAATCTACTAAATCTGGATATGAAAAGTGAGAGTCTGTGGTATTTGTGCCACAACCTGCTTCCAGTCACTCCCTCACCTCTACAGAGGCTTTACTCAAGGTGGGTGCAGACAAGAAGACAGGCGTTCCCTCCCTGACCAGCTTCCAGTCTAGGGCTATAGTTTCACCCTAGGAAGGGCAGGACACTGAAATCCCTCACCCCTTAACCCCAAGCTCATGTAGTGGAAGCTCTATGCACCGCTGAGAAGACTAGGGCTTCTTTATCCCATCCGGCCATCACTGGTAGGGGACGGGTTCTGCCCAAAGCACATTAAAGGTGTGAATACTGGAACATAAATTGCTCTTCTTCCTACAACTCCCCCTACAATAAGAGGGGTAAGCTGAGAAGGTCAGAGTACCATTCCTCCCCTACCCCACCCCCACCTCCTGCTCCCACTCATAGAGTGGTGGTAGTGGGGGGAGGTATCACTTGTCTCCAGTGTAGTAGTGCATAGGTTCTGCTCAGGGAGAAAGGCAAGCCATAAGGACTGGCGGCATCTCAGCTATGCCTGACGAGACTGATTTTATTTGGAACACAAAGTGGAGAAATTTTCAGAAACAATAGAGATTTCTGTTGGTGGACAATTAGAAGACTAGTAGTTACATGAAACTAATGGCAGCCAGAAGTTTAACAGAGAAAACCAGGGAAAGGAAAAGCTAAAATGGCCCACTTAAGATCACACTCATCCCTGTGGGGTTTGGAAGGCTGTGTATATGTATAGGCTGAACCTACTCAGTAGCAATCAGAGCAAGATGTGGGCAGACTTGAAAGTACAGTTGACCCTCCATATCTGTGGGTTCTGCATTTGTGGATTCAACCAACTGCAGATTGAAAATATCTGAAGAAAAGAATTGGACCTGTACTGAACATGTGCAGACTATTTTTTCTTGTCATTATTCCCTAAATAATACAGTACAACAACTATTTACATAGCATTTACAATGTATTAGTTATTTTAAGTAATCTAGACTTGATTTAAAGTATACAGGAGTGTGTGATAGGTTTTATGCAAATACCATGCCATTTTATATCAGGAACTTGAACATTCATAGCCTTTAGTATCCATGGGTGGGTCCTGGAATCAATCCTCCATGGATACTGAGGGATGAGTATATTCCCCAAGCTACATACAGATTGGTCAGCAAAGGGCTGAAACCTTACTTGCTCAAAAGGCGTAGGTACAACCTCCGACCCATCAATGACTGAGAAATAAGCCATTCTAGTCACTTTAAAATAAAATCATACTTGCTGTTGGTGGTCTAGAAGACGGTGAACGCCCAAGGCTATACCCTCCGTGGAGTGATTAGTGACAGAACTTCCAAGCTGCCATTCCCTGGCTAAATTCAAGGCAAAACCCACAAAACTCCCTGAATTATGAAAGCAGTCTCCAAGCCACACACATATTTGATAGTAAGGAGTTAAAGTCTTACTGGCTCTGAGGACTTAAGTACAACTTGTGATTAATAAATATCTTATGTTGACCCAACAGTGACCCATAGCCACACCAAAAGATAACCACAAGGAAAAGAATCAGAGCAGAGATATCAGAGGCTTCAGATTGAAGGGAAAATAGACTTCACAGAAGTAGTCGACCCAAATCACTGAAAGATAAACAAATGACCAAACAAATAACAACAGCAAACCCTGAATGGGTGAATGGAATCGGTATCTAAAGAACAAGGTATTATCTAAAATGTCCAGTTTTCAACAAAAAGCTATACAGCACACAAAGAAACATGAAAAGTGTGATCTATACTTCGGAAAAATAGCAGGCAGTAGAAACTACATTTTAGGGGTCCTTACCATATAAAGACGTTGGGATGACTATGCAAAGAATTCAAAGCGGCTATTATAAATACAGTCATATGCCATAAAGATGTTTTGGTAAAAGATGGACTGCATACACAACGACGATCTCCTATGAGATTATAATGGAGCTGAAAAATTCCTATAACCTAGCGAAATCATAGCCTTCCTAACGTCCTTGCACAATTTGTTACTCATGTGTTTGTGGTGATGATGCTAGTGTAAAAAAACCTACTGCACTGCTAGTCATATAAAAGTATAGCATATATAATTATGTGCAGTATATAATACTTCATAAGGATAATAAACAACTATGTTACTGGTTTATGTATTTACTATACTAAACTTTTTATTGGAGTGTACTTCTCCTTATAAAAATAAAATAGTTAACTATAAAACAGCCTCAGGCAGATCCTTCAGGAGTTATTCCAGAAGGCATTGTTATCATAGGAGATAGCTCCATGTATGTCTCCATCCCTGAAGACCTTTCAGTGAGACAAGATGTGGAGGTGGAAGACAGAGATATTGTTAGTCCTGACCTTGTATAGGACCAGGCTAAGGTGTGTTTTTGTGTCTTAGCTTTTTTTTTTTTTTTTTTTTTTTTTTTT